CATGAAATCCCTGGAGTGATATTTTGTGATTTGAATAGCAGAGAAAGATGAAAGGATCACCTGTCATTTTGTGGTTTTTTGCCTTACAGGTATACCGTTCCCGATAATCGTGGCGTGGGCCATCGGGAAGCTCTACTACGACAACGAGAAGTAAGCCTCTTTTCAAGATATTCAACAAGGAACTTTTTATTCTATCCGGGTAATAAAAGGACAAGGGCAAAGCGTTACATTAGGGAGATGAATGTCTATTAATAATCAGCCGTAATCACATTTGCATTGTACAATATTCTTAATTACACTCTAGCCCTGCCAGCATTTCATCGGGAGTGCTTGCTCTCTTTTCACACCTATTAGTGAGGTGAAAATTGATTCGGCGATTTAGAAACGGGCGCTGAATAATTGGAAAAGTCGGTTGATACGCTAGATTTCTCTAATTGTCACCAAATGCAATTAAAAGGGCAAAACCAGATTCTCCAAAGTCCTAAATCTGACTCCCCTGTGCTTCTGAGCTCTGCTGTGGTCCAGAAGCTATTAAAAACTGTGAGTGACATATTCCTTCATTACCACGAGCATACCCTGTAGTTTATTTTGATTCAGTCCCCCCACACAAACCATCCTGCTGCCAGAAATATAGAAATCGCTAGAGCAGTGAATGCATCGGAATCGGCTTTAATGGCCAAGTCTGATGACACATTCAAGAAATTTGGTTCCAGCTCCCATCAGCAGCAGAGAAAGTGTCTGCAGAGGGAAACGTACACAAAGATAAGTAAAAAGCATACGCAGCTGCATTAATGAGATTTTCCTGGCAGTGAGTTGCCTATCGAAACATTAAGACTGCACAGACAGCTCATTTAAAAAGTTATATCCCACTGACCAGTGCAAGACCGTGGGTGTGACTGAACAGTCAAATATTCACACCATTTCTATGTTTTACAGAAAGCAGTGTTTCTCTCAGAAGTGATTTGGTTTGCAAGGACCTCGTTAGCTCGCTTGGCACCATGTTAGTGTTACTTAACACTTCCCAGTAAATGATGCAGCCAGGCTGAAGGTTGTTGACGTCTCCGGTCTAGCTGATGTCTTGAAACTGACTGTGAAGAATGAACGCAGACTTTAGAGGCACTCTTGATGAAACGAAAGACAAACTGTTTATTTGGATGATAAAAACTCCAATGTGAATCCAAAACTGAAGCGAAACAAAGTCCAAGATACAAAGTAATAACATCCAGGCAGCACAGCACATTACAACGCAGCGAGGTCTAAGTGAAAGACGAGGTACAGATGAACGCGCTGTGTGCTAATGAGGAGTGGAAACAGCTGGGGACCAAGAAACAGGTGAAGCTAATCAATGGTAACGAAAAGACAGAGGTCAAGAGACTACTGAGATAAAGCAGGAAGTGTTTTCACACAGAAGCACACGTAAACTTGACACAGAAAGATCCAAGACTAGAAAGGTTACAAAAAACTCTACAAGCTTGCCTTAAATAGAAAACTAATGTAAAAAACACTGAAACAGAGAAGTAAAGGCTGACGATACAGTTCAGGGTTACAGAGCTTGTTCACTTCTTACTGGGTTACAGCATCATGCTGCATAACTACTCACTACCAGAGATGGGCAGTAACGCGTTACTGTAATCCGATTACTTTTTTCAAGTAAC